GACCGCTCCCCCTTTCAATGTCTGCTAAAATCACAACACAACATTGTGTCAGGAGGAGAAGCGGAAGAACAGGTTAACTTAATGAGGGAAAAAGAGATAAAAATGAAGAAATAAGGAGTTGAAAACATCAAAGAGTCAACCCCTTTATCACTCTTTGTAGCTTCAAACTCACTATTTGTACCTCACATCACACGAAAATGTCATTTTCTCTTAATACAAAAGAAAAATCTGTAAATTGTACAAGGCTCACCTCATTGACTGGTTCCATGACAGCTTTTGAGGAAGAACCATTCCAATCCTTTTCCTCGTGTTCTGTCAGTACATATTTATCATTCATGGAAAAGCTTTCAAACTGCAACCAGGATCAAATTTGAAATAAATAATACTCTCAACTTATTACAGGGAAAATAGAATTACAACTTATTCGTAATGTCAGTTAGGAGGAAAAACCTATCAAAGCATTGTTGGTAAAAGTTTGACAAACTGTCAGTAGCACTGTTAGATTTTCCAGAGTTCTGTTGCATCATTATTTACAAATACATGTACCACTATGTGTTCCTTCATTGGGGGATCAAATATGTCAATGTTAATCAACCAAAATATTCACAGTTACTGTAAGAAATACTTTTGCCAGAACATGATAATTTGCTTTTATCAACTGAGTTGTTACATAAGAATTTGCCACTGTAAAGGGATTCTGGAATTGATATTTCAAGCATTAGCTCTTCATCAGAGGGAATCAATTAGCTCTGATGCTCAAAACTTGAACTTTAAGATCCCTCTACTGCTGCTAATTCACTCTATCGACTGGGTTTATTGATAAACTCTATTCATCCTCTTGTAATACCCCCTGTGTATACCCATTACTCATTTCTTGGTAACACATTCTGTACCTTCTTTATCACTTTTCCAGTTTTCCTCTTGTGAAGAACTTTACACCAGCTCACTGACCGATCTGCAACACATTTTACCAGTGAAAAGATTGCACTTTTGAAAGGAATGTTTACATTATTAAACTTACCCGTGGTCTGAAATATCATTATGACAACTGTACATAATCACGAATCTACTACACTAAAAAAAAAAAGACATTTTGAATTTAAATTTGCTGCCATAATCCTTCACATCCTATTACATCAGTATGCATATTCTCCATACTGTTCTCTATACATTTCCTCAGTCACTGATGAGGAGAATTTTTTTAACTTGTAAATAACTAACTGGTTTGCCTCCGACCAGTTGGGATTCTTAACAATTTATGTTCAATTTCAATTATTTGTTTCTGTTGTTTATTGTGGGCCTCGTGGAAAGTAGCTTGTAGCTAAGTGTGGTGCCACATTAAAATTAGATATTTATTATTATTTTTTTTTTTATTTAACAATCAAGTGCCTCTTTAGTTGATGATCATTTCTTTAATTCTCCTGACCTTAATGTGTGATTGAGGGGTGATATTGTATGAAGAAATTAGATGCTTGTCACTCTTAAGGGTCAACCGGTTGAATTTTTTTGTTCAAACCTTGTTGATCTCCTCTGACCTAATTGGCTTAACTGCCCTTAAATACAGGTTTGAGCAAAGCTTTATTTATTTGATCAAAACATATTTTTACCAGGATCTTTCTCTTCCTTGTCCTGCGTAATCCAAAGAAGCGATGAAGCCAAGAAATTGATAGTATTTAAAGTATGGTCATCGTGGAGATCGGAATGGACTAAAGCAACAACTTGAGCGACTTGATAACCTGAGAAGACAATTTAACCAGGTCAAAAAAGTGTTCTTTACAAGTGAATCACTACAGCCATCCAATTTGATAAGCTGAATCATACAGGCATTTTGATTGGTTCTTATAATCTATCAGAATAACAATATTTTGCTTGCCTTATTTTAAAAAGTTAAATAAATTCCATGCTGCTGTGGGTCTGTACAGTTTCTGTTAGTAATGGATCACAGCATGCCATAAAAAAACCCAAACACAAGAGCCTGCTTGCAGGCTAAACAGATGGTAAAGAGATGCTGTAGACAGTGGTAGACCACTGGTGACTGGTTTTTATTGAAAGCCCTCCCCTGTCAGTTCAGTGGCAGTATTACCCCCCCCCTTCCCAAATGGGACCTTGACAATCCAATACCACCCAGAATAGCTGCAAATTTTTCAAAGAATGATTACCTTGCTGTGAGTCTGAAGGGTTAGAGTACAGTTGATTTAGTAATGTACACACCACTGTTGAAGATTTCCACAGTAACAGCCTACTCAATGAATTGAATATGACAGCTACTTTCACTACATCACCTGGAAAATAAGAAGCCATAACACAGCAGTGTAAGTCATTGAACAACAAAAGCCAACTTCAAAATGCACTCAGACTGCAACCTTTGTTTCTCTAGGAAAAGCAAC